TATATATATATATATATATATATATATATATAATATATATATATATATATATATATATATATATATATATATATATATATATATATATATATATAATTACATACACACATGCATATACATACACAACCAACAACTTGTATAATATACAATATATAATATAAACTTGACTTACCCGTCTCAACTGCACAATAAAATAGAGATAGATATATATAGGCACGCGTTTGAATGTCCTTTTGTGCGAGCTAGAGAATCAGACACACAGAATACTTACGGTGATTGTCGGCCAGCAGACGCGGCAGGTAAACTGGAAGGCGGCTGACCTAATGCTCTCACATTAGGATTCATACTCGAATTCGACTCTGGTGGCTTATTCAAATTCGGGTTCAAAATCGATGTAGACCCCGCTTGCTGATTCATATTCGGGTTTGTACTCGAATTAGACCGTGGAGGTTGATTCATAGGTGAGTCACTCCGACCGCCCGGCTGTTGCTGAAACCGTTCCTGCGATTGCTGCAAATACTGTGGCTGTCCTGGTTGCTGTTGCTGTTGCCGTTGTTGTTGCTGTTGTTGTTGCTGCTGTTGCTGTTGCTGCTGCTGCTGTTGCTGCTGCTGCTGTTGTTGTTGCGGCGGCTGCTGCTGTGGTTGTTGCTGTTGTTGTTGCTGCTGCTGTTGTGGTTGCTGCTGCTGTGGTTGTTGTTGTTGCTGTTGTGGCTGTTGTTGCATACCCTGTGGCTGACCGAAGTGCCCGGTTGACCCGGGATTGGGTGTGGGATTCGCCGACATTGCGAAAACGTACACGTCTGAAGGATTTGCCGTCAGACCGTACTACACGTACTACAGGTGTTCACAATCACCTTGTCGCCTACTGCACTTGCCAACGCAACTATAAACACAACTAGCTACGTGATACGTATGTATAAACACTGCTGCTCAGCTGTGTGAGGTGTACTGCAAGCTGCTTTGCCGGCATGTATCGTCTCTTGTTTTTTATGTTAATTTTACCACAACAATGAACAATCGGGCTCGAATCTGAAACCTCTCACTTCCGGCAATCGGCACATCCGCTGTGCATTGGAGAATTTCGGGTCGTGTTGAGCACTTTTCGGAAATGAACGTTTCCAAAAAATAATAAAATAATCGAGACTAACGGTTATACCCTCATTACGTATTGTGTTGGAACGTATAAAGAGCAATACTTTATATATTTACATTCAACGGTTATATTGGGCGTGACTAATATACTCGATAGGGGTGCAGTATATGAGCTCTGAAGTGCAATATATAGGAACACTTGAACTAAGCAGTTCGATTGTCTAAAATTTAGGTTAGACCCTTTCTGTTCCATTTTTACGATACAACGCGTAAATACAAGAATATATACGTTTCCGTTAAACGTTTATCAAAGTAATATTGCTTTGCTGCCATATGGTACGTTGGCAACGGAACGTATTTAGACAATATGTGGTGAAAGTTGTATATGGTGTACAGTGTGTAGTGAGTTGGTGTCTTTGGGCCGTGTGACGTGTGCGGACTGGGGACTGGGGACGCTGAAAATTTTGATTTTCGTTGGCAAATACATAGTTTGTACCGAACATGAAGTCTACTGAATGACCGAGTGAAAGCTGACATTTTGAAGATGCTCATCATATCATCATCAATTTAGTTAAACTGTGTATGTATTTAAGTAAATATGTGCATTTGTGTATCATTACCGATATTCAGATTAACATAAAAATAAACTCTTCTATAGTGTGGAAGTTATAAAATTTGATATTGAATATTGAATGCGATAATGTCTTATTGGTCCATGTTTGCAAAGAACCGCCGGTATCTCAAGCTTGCTGAAGAATGTGTAGTAAGTGGTGTTCCACTCAATAAGTTCAACTGTGTTTTATAATGTATAT